ACAGCAGAAATGCATTGCAGTTATGCAATATTCAGGAAGTTGAAATGTTGTTTGTTGAGTTCACATTTGTTGGCTAACCACAAAAGATTTTAATGTGAGTGGTAGAACTTTCTACGTATTTATGATGCTGTGACTACTTGACAGGAAGAAAAGCAAGCTGCAGTAATATTACAGGAAAACATGAGACAACAGTTAGGCTCAGAGGATGGTCTGACACTCAAAAAGCCTGTATTGTGGTTTATATCATATAAAAGAACACATGGTGAGGGTGTGGCTGAGCGAATTTTTTAAATGTGCTGGTTGTGCCAGTCAGTATCATCCTGTTCACATTGTCCTTTGCTACATTTAAAGTTCTAAGTTAGTTTCATCTTCTATTAAGATTATCTTTCATTTAAAATCTTGGTTGAACAGTTTGAAGGTGATGAATAAGTTAATTTCAATGTTACAAGAATTTCATATCATTGAGAGTGGGTTTATACTACTGGTTAGGAGGATCTGAATCTAAATTTGAGATTCGGTGCTCATCTATAAAGTAGGAATGATAACCATAATACTTCTGAGAACTGTTTGAAGATTAAGTGATACAATCAACATATAACTCATAAAGGAAGAAAAGTTTATTTTGGTTGGTTTCAGAGGCCTTAGTTTATGATCAACCAACTCAGTTGCTCTGGGTGTGAGGTGAGGCAGAACACCATGGTAGGAGGGCGTGGCAGAGAAGAACTACTCAGTACTCCATAGAAGAAAGCAGAGCTGGTGGGTGGGAAGGGACTGCAGAGAAGATAAACTCTCGCAGGGAACACTCCTGTGTCCTACCTCCTTCTTTCACACCCCACCTGCCTATAGGTACCACCCAGTGAGTCCTTTGAAATTATTAATCTATCAAATGGATTAATCCATTGATAGGTTGCCGCTTTCATGATCTAATTATTTTACTCCTGAATCTTTCTACATCAACACAGGAGCTTTTGGAGGATCCATCACATGCAAGCCACACCAGGAACATACATTGAACAATTCCTATATTATATCACCAGTGCTCTTTCGTATGATAGCATTTTCTGTAGTCTAATGAAAATATCCATTGTCCTAATTTGCCAATGAGAAAAATGGGGCAAACAAGGAAACTGCAGTATTCATTCCATAGACACTTTTTCTTTTCTTTTTTGCAAATGAAAGATGTCTCATCAGGGCAGTTAAATAATCTGAGTTTTACTTTTACAAAAGTACAACTTTTTATATTATAAAAAATAGATTAAGGAAGAGAAGCTAGCAAGAAAATTTAAGAGGTCATTTGCCTGGTTCTGGTAAAAGGTAATGAAGACTTACAATGAGGAAATTTGATTGACATTTCAGAGATGAGATGAACTGAATCCTATTGCATGTGAGTCAGGATTAGTATGGTGAAATAGAAGCAATGTAAAGGGAATTTCAAGGGATAGGTAGTCTCCAGCAATATTTGTTATTCCAGGGATATGAAATAGTAAAGCATGAGCTGTGCAAATATGTCATCAGGCTAAATAGTAGACCTTTTTTAACCTAAGTGAAAGCATTTTTTTTTATGGTAATATGATGGGTGAAGACACCAAAATGTATTGTATTGAGGTGGGAATGCAGCTGAGATCAGAGACTGTGAAGTTAATTATTTGAAGAAATTGACTAATTCAGTCATTCTTTTTGGCAGAAATTTCACTAAGAGATGGAACTAAATTTTAAGGGTACCCCAGAGCTAAATGTGTAATGAGGAACATTTAGAGATACCAATTTCAGGACAAAAAATACAGTTGACCCTGAAATATTTTCTCTCATAGCTACCACCACATGTAATTCCTACTATGTGGTAAGCACTCACCCAATACAGTGAAATGTGTAAATTCCTTCAGCTTTTACTTACTCAGTTTTTGCCCTGTATAATTTGACTCTTGTTCAGGTCTTTTATACCTTGGCTTTTGTTTTTTCTTTTTAAGAGTAAAACTCCATTCAGCAATTTTGCAGTTACACAAGCAGTTATTTCAAGCCTGTGCTCACAAAGCACTTCACACTGGCTGTATTTCCCTGTTTGCAAACTTTGCACCTTGCCATTGCTTGAGAAAGCATTTTATGCAGTTTTAAATGTAATTAAAAGTGATAGGACATTCACTTTAGTTATGTTTCTTTTTCTTTATAAACTTTGGCTCTGCATTTCACAAGAATGCACAGGAGGGACTTGGGAGATTGGTTTACGTAATGCAGTGTGCCTTTGCCCTTCCCTGACCTTTCTGAGGAGCTGCACAGCTCTGACATGTGCACAGTTGCTTCCCTGCTTTTCCATGTTGTATTACCCAAGTGTGATAAATATCATGTCCCTAAATATTACAGTTTTGTTTAAAAAGATGCATCAGTTTTGTTTTTTAAATATTTATTTTAATTAAATTTTACTTTAAATAAAAATATTTATTTTATATCTTTGTTTTATTTATTTATTTTTATGTGGTGCTGAGGATCAAACCCAGGGCCAAGCATGTGCTAGGCGAGCACTCTGCTGCTGAGCTACAACCCCAGCCCCCCAAAAGATGCATTAGTTTTAAAGTATCTTATTGTCTTCAGCTTTCTCAACATGACTGTCTCTCCTGTTTTTAATTGTCTGTTGAATAAAGCAGATCATGTAACATTTTCTCACAATCTGAATGTTCTTGACTCCCATGGGATATGGTTCAATTTGTTCTTTCATTCTCTATATTTCCTGTAAACTGGGAGTTGGATGGGGGGACTTCCTCTGTGTCAGGATTCCCCTTTCCCCTTCTGGACAGATGACTGCCCAGGTGGTGGGGTATCATTCTATTTTTGAGATGACAGCACAGTTAATACAAAATGCTGAGATCCACGATTCCCTTGGTATTGAGCACCACTGAGTTATATTTATATGTTTTGTTTATTTATTTATTGGGTGGAATTCTTCTCCTGGACTGTTTGAGCTAGTGGTAGAGCTGGTGTCAAGGTATGTGCTTAATATTTTTCCTTTATCTTAACCACTATTCAGAATGAAAGTTGGTACTGTAATGTCCTCTGTAAATGGAAGTGTGTGTGGGCGCGCGCGCGCGTGCGTGTATGTGTGTGTGTGTGTGTAAGAGAGAGACAGAAAAATAGATAAGGAATGGCTCCTGCCATCCTGACTCTACTGGACCCCCTGTTGAGATCTGGGAGTCTGACTGGTTAATAAAGCTTATCCTTGCTGTCTTGGTCAGAGGTCCTGAAATCTTAACTGCAGACTCCCGGATGAACAGGATTGGTCCCTATTATCCCATCCTCATTGCTAAAACATTGGGGAAGAAAAGCTTCCCCTCTTCCCCTTTAGATTCCACTAATTAAATTGATGAAAGATTAGCAAAGAAAAAGAAGATTTAATTATGTATGTATAGTAGTTCACAGAAACAGTGTGACTCAAAGGGGCAATTAGGAGGCTGGGGATGTGGCTTAGTGGTGTGAGAGCACCTGGCACGCACAAAGTCCTGGGCTCTATCCCCAGCATGGCAAAAGTAAAGAAAGAAAGCAAAAAAGAAAAGAAAGAAAGAGAGTTAGAATTAAGGCTTAGTTTGCATTTAATTTTTTTAAAATTTAACTGATACATAATAATTGCATGTATTTTAAAGGTACAATATAATATTTAGATATAAGATATAATGGTAAATGATCACATCTGGATAATTTGCACATCACTTATCATTTCTTTATGTTGGGAGCATTCAACATCTTCTCTACTAGCTATTGTGAAATATGCAATTGATTGTTGTCAACCTTAGTTATCCTACTATTATGAAGAACATTCTAAGTTATTCCTTCTGTCCAGTTTTACCCCTGTACCTGTTAACCATCCTCTCTCCACCTGCCTCTCCCCCCACTTCTCATCCTCTGATAATCATTATTCTACGCTCTGTTTTTATGAAATCAGCTTTCTTAGCTTACATGTATAACTGAGATCACAGGGTAAGTAAGTTTCTGTGCCTGATGCTTCACTAAACAATGTCCTCCAGGCTCATCCATACACCATCTTGACAAAGAAAGGAGAGGGGCGAAGGGCCACTTATGGGAAAAAAACAGATTTCTTCTTGGAAAGATAAGCCAGCCCATAGGAGAAAAGATAGCAGACATGATGTTTTTATGGCAGTGTCCATTCAGATGTGGCATGGATACTTCTCTAGTGATGAGAATTATCTTCCTTGTTTGCTTTTGGGGAGGGGATTTATGACAAGTGAGTTCTTCTGAGTGCTTTTTGGAGGCTCTATGTTTAGTCAGATAAAAGATTTCAGTAACTCAATGCCTGCTGCTCAAAATAAATTTTTATACTTTATTGGCATATCCTGGACTCCTTTCATATATGTAGGTGTGTACATATGTGTATATACAGATGTTATGACTGTTATCAATTCATAACATCTTATGAATTGATACTGATGTTTGGAATTCAGTTAAAATTTAGAACTATAGGATGCCTATGTAAATTCTCTTTTTTTAGATTTACAGGTTCTTAAGAATACCAGGAATGACAGAATATAGCATCTCAGTCCAATCCACACTACACACAAAGCATTCTTGCGACATGTTCCAACACTATGTTTATTGAAAAGATTTGAAATAGGCCCTCTAGTCTCAATCCACTAGTGTGGGTTGGTGTTTACAGTTATACTGTTCCCACACTTTCAGAGCACATGGAGTATATTTTTTAGTACTCTCTTCCCTATATCCTATTTAGCTATCATGATTTCAAGAGATAAATATCACAGACTTATGCTTTTGTGATTCTGTTAATGTTGTATCAAAACTTTTCTTCAGCTGTGCCTGTGAAGGAGAATAAGAAAAGTAACCAGATCTATGTTGACAGAGGAATAATTCTTCAAATAAATGGATGGAATGTTGAGAAACTGTTCATATAGCACCATTGAAAATTTAGAAAAGGTTTTATATATTGGATTTCCCTGCAAATGTAACTTTTAAAACATTTTTTTGTCTTTCATGACTTACAGACAAGTCCAGTATGCTAGTAGAAAAAAATATCACATTAGAAAAGCCTTCTAATATGGAACTCACATGCCAGTTCACAACATCTGGAGATTTGAATTCAATAAACATTACTTGGAGAAAAGGTGATGAGCTACTTGAGAATAATAATTATCTCATTAATGCATCAGGAAACACCCTGTATACCCAATACACGTGAGTATACAATATTTTCAATCTATGTTGATAGCCAGAATTGGTTTTATCCTAAATATTTTTACTGACAATAAAAATTCCTTTGCAGTTAATGAATGTTAAGCTAATATTCTAATTTGCATGTTTACAGAATTATTTCTGTTTTTAAATTTTGATTAATTGTTAAGTCTTCATTTTCATTAAGAAGTATTTGAAGAACTAAGCCTGGATTAATAATTTAAATTACCTTTAGGTTCACCATCATTAATAGCAAACAAATGGGAAGTTATTCCTGTTTCTTTGAAGAGGAAAAGGAACAAAAGGGAACATTTAATATCAAAGGTCAGTATTAATAACTTGAGAAATAATAACTTCAGCATTATGTTCTTAGATTTTTAAGTCCCTGATTTTAATTATTATTGTAATAATACACACAATGAAGTTGGGAAAAAAAATTACATGCTTTCCATTGACTCACAAAGGTGACCTTGAAAATGGTCTTGCATTCCCTAATCCACTCCCCTCTCTGCTTCCATCTCTTAGTTTAAATACAGGTTTTACTTCCAAAGGCCAGCCTGCCAAGTTTTCATAAATCATATTAGTCTCTTAATTTATTTATTAATTCAGCCTTCTAAATTTAGAGCTTTTGTAATAGTCCTCCAGATTTCTGAGTTACTGTGCTCTCCCAGATTAGGAGAATATGGTTTGGTGTACTACATCCCTGACTCCAGGCCTTGTTATTTTAGAGATCCGTAAAATTTAAAAATAGTATGGAGATGCACAAAGGGTTGAGTACATTTTATATCATCATGTATGGCCGTTTAAAAATACAGCCACGCATCCCTTAACAGCAGGATACACTCTGAGAAATGTGTCATCAGGTGCTTTCCTGTGGGAAACACACAGAGCACCTACAGAAACCTTGATTGTTGGCCTGCGACACACCTGTGCTCTGTAGTGGAGCTTGTGGCTCTTAGGTTAGGACTTTGGAGAATGTGTTACTTCATTGAACACTGTCTGCCATTATAACCAGTGGTAAGAATTTGTGTATCTAAACATGTAACAGGTACAGTAAAGATACAGTATGAAAGATACAAAGTGGTATGCCTTTGTGGGGTGCTCCCGTGAATGGGACCTGAAGGATTGGGAGTCGCCCTGGGTGAGTCAGTGAGTGGGTGGTGAGTATGAGTCAAAGCCTGGGACTTAATTGTCTATCACTGTAGACTTTGTAAACCCTGCACACTTAGGCTACACTAGATTTATAAATGAAAATTTCTTTAATAATAAATCATCTTTAGCTTACTGTAACTTTTTACTTTATAAATTTTAAACTTTTTAAAAACTTTTTTGACTTTTCTAATAGGCTAAAACACAAACATTATATAGCTATGCAAAAATATTTTCTCCATGTAACCAGTGGTAAACCTTTGTTTTTATTAAAGAGTCTTTTTTTTTTTTCAACTTTGTAAATGTTTTTGTTTAAAGTGAAAACACAAATACACATACGAGTCTAGACCTGCACAGAGTCAGACTCATGGCCCTGTCCTCACTGCCACCTCTTGTCCCATGGACAGTCTTTAGGGGCAGCAACACACAAGGAGCTGTCATCTCTCTGATAACAAGTTCTCTTTCTGGAACATTCTTTTTTTTTTTTTTTTAACCAAAACATGATTTATTTTATTTTTTATTTTTTAATTTTTTATTGTTGGCTGTTCAAAACATTACATAGTTCTTGATATATCATATTTCACAATTTGATTCAAGTGGGTTATGAGCTCCCATTTTTACCCCATATACAGATTGCAGAATCACATCAGTTACACATCCATTGATTTACATATTGCCATACTAGTGACTCTCGTGTTCTGCTACCTTTCCTATCCTCTACTATTCCCCCTCCCCTCCCCTCCCCTCCCCTCCCCTCCCCTCCCCTCTTCTCTCTCTGCTCCCTCTACTGACATTCGTTTGTCCCCCTTATATTATTTTTCCCCTTCCCCTCACTTCCTCTTGTATGTACTTTTGTATAACTCTGAGGGTCTCCTTCCATTTCCATGCATTTTCCCTTCTCTCTCCCTTTCCCTCCCACCTCTCATCCCTGTTTAATGTTAATCTTCTTCTCATGCTCTTCGACCCTACTCTGTTCTTAGTTACTCTCCTTATATCAAAGAAGACATTTGGCATTTGTTTTTTAGGGATTGGCTAGCTTCACTTAGCATAATCTGCTCTAATGCCATCCATTTCCCTGTAAATTCTATGATTTTGTCATTTTTTAATGCAGAGTAATACTCCATTGTGTATAAATGCCACATTTTTTTTATCCATTCATCCATTGAAGGGCATCTAGGTTGGTTCCACAGTCTAGCTATTGTGAATTGTGCTGCTATGAACATCGATGTAGCAGTGTCCCTGTAGCATGCTCTTTTTAGGTCTTTAGGGAATAGACCGAGAAGGGGAATAGCTGGGTCAAATGGTGGCTCCATTCCCAGCTTTCCAAGAAATCTCCATACTGCTTTCCAAATTGGCTGCACCAATTTGCAGTCCCACCAGCAATGTACAAGTGTACCCTTTTCCCCACAACCTCGCCAGCACTTGTTGTTGTTTGACTTCATAATGGCTGCCAATCTTACTGGAGTGAGATGGTATCTTAGGGTGGTTTTGATTTGCATTTCTCTGACTGCTAGAGATGGTGAGCATTTTTTCATGTACTTGTTGATTGATTGTATGTCCTCCTCTGAGAAGTGTCTGTTCAGGTCCTTGGCCCATTTGTTGATTGGGTTGTTTGTTCTCTTATTGTCTAATTTTTTGAGTTCTTTGTATACTCTGGATATTAGGGCTCTATCTGAAGTGTGAGGAGTAAAGATTTGTTCCCAGGATGTAGGCTCTCTATTTACCTCTCTTATTGTATCTTTTGCTGAGAAAAAACTTTTTAGTTTGAGTAAGTCCCATTTGTTGATTCTAGTTATTAACTTTTGTGCTATGGGTGTCCTATTGAGGAATTTGGAGCCCGACCCCACAGTATGTAGATCGTAGCCAACTTTTTCTTCTATCAGACGGCGTGTCTCTGATTTGATATCAAGCTCCTTGATCCATTTTGAATTAACTTTTGTGCATGGCGAGAGAAAGGGATTCAGTTTCATTTTGTTGCATATGGATTTCCAGTTTTCCCAGCACCATTTGTTGAAGATGCTATCCTTCCTCCATTGCATGCTTTTAGCCCCTTTATCAAATATAAGGTAGTTGTAGTTTTGTGGATTGGTTTCTGTGTCCTCTATTCTGTACCATTGGTCCACCCGCCTGTTTTGGTACCAGTACCATGCTGTTTTTGTTACTATTGCTCTGTAGTATAGTTTGAAGTCTGGTATCGCTATACCGCCTGATTCACACTTCCTGCTTATCATTGTTTTTGCTATTCTGGGTCTTTTGTTTTTCCATATGAATTTCATGATTGCTTTCTCTATTTCTACAAGAAATGCCGTTGGGATTTTGATTGGCATTGCATTAAACCTATAGAGAACTTTTGGTAATATCGCCATTTTGATGATGTTAGTTCTGCCTATCCATGAACAGGGTATATTTTTCCATCTTCTAAGATCTTCTTTTATTTCTCTCTTTAGGGTTCTGTAGTTTTCATTGTATAAGTCTTTCACCTCTTTTGTTAGGTTGATTCCCAAGTATTTTATTTTTTTTGAGGATATTGTGAATGGAGTGGTTGTCCTCATTTCCATTTCAGAGGATTTGTCGCTGATATACAGGAATGCCTTTGATTTATGCGTGTTGATTTTATATCCTGCCACTTTGCTGAATTCATTTATTAGCTCTAATAGTTTCTTTGTAGACCCTTTTGGGTCTGCTAGGTATAGAATCATGTCATCTGCAAATAGTGATAATTTAAGTTCTTCTTTTCCTATTTTGATGCCTTTAATTTCTTTCGTCTGTCTAATTGCTCTGGCCAGTGTTTCGAGAACTATGTTGAACAGAAGTGGTGAGAGAGGGCATCCCTGTCTTGTTCCAGATTTTAGAGGGAATGCCTTCAATTTTTCTCCATTCAGAATGATGCTAGCCTGAGGCTTAGCATAGATTGCTTTTACAATATTGAGGTATGTTCCTGTTATCCCTAGTTTTTCTAGAGTTTTGAACATAAAGGGATGCTGTACTTTGTCGAATGCTTTTTCCGCATCTATCGAGATGATCATATGATTCTTATTTTTAAGTCTATTGATGTGGTGAATAACATTTATTGATTTCCGTATATTGAACCAGCCTTGCATCCCAGGGATGAATCCTACTTGATCATGGTGCACAATTTTTTTGATAAGTTTTTGTATCCGAGTGGCCAGAATTTTATTGAGGATTTTTGCATCTAGGTTCATTAGAGATATTGGTGTGTAGTTTTCTTTCTTTGAAGTGTCTTTGTCTGGTTTAGGTATCAGGGTGATGTTGGCCTCGTAGAATGAATTTGGAAGTTCTCCCTCTTTTTCTATTTCCCGAAGTAGCTTGAAAAGTATTGGTATTAGTTCCTCTTTAAAGGTTTTGTAAAACTCTGCTGTATACCCATCCGGTCCTGGGCTTTTCTTAGTTGGTAGTCTTTTGATGGTTTCTTCTATTTCCTCAATTGATATTGGTCTGTTTAGGTTGTCTATATCCTCCTGACTCAATCTGGGCAGATCATATGACTTAAGAAATTTATCTATGCCTTCACTATCTTCTAATTTATTGGAGTATAAGGATTCAAAATAATTTTTGATTATCTTCTGTATTTCTGAAGTGTCTGTTGTGATATTGCCTCTTTCATCCCGTATGTTAGTAATTTGAGTTCTCTCTCTTCTTCTCTTCGCTAGCATGGCTAAGGGTCTGTCGATTTTGTTTATTTTTTCAAAGAACCAACTTTTAGTTTTGTCAATTTTTTCAATTGTTTCTTTTGTTTCGATTTCATTAATTTCAGCTCTGATTTTAATTATTTCTTGCCTTCTCCTTCTTTTGCTGTTGTTTTGCTCTTCTTTTTCTAGGATTTTGAGATGAAGTATGAGATCATTTATTTGTTGGTTTTTTCTTTTTTTAAGGAATGAACTCCAAGCAATGAATTTTCCTCTTAGAACTGCTTTCAATGTGTCCCATAGATTCCGATATGTTGTGTCTGTGTTTTCATTAATCTCTAAGAATTTTTTAATTTCCTCCTTGATGTCTTCTATAACCCATTGATCATTCAGTAACCTATTGTTCATTCTCCAAGTGATGTATTCTTTTCCCTTCCTTCTTTTATCGTTGATTTTCAGTTCCATTCCATTATGATCAGATAGGATGCATGGTATTATCTCTACTCCTTTATATTGTCTAAGAGTTGC